AGCGAAATTGCTGTGGAAACTTTTTTTTTAAACAGTACTTACCGTCCTTCCAAAAAAAGAGCTTTTCCCTATGTGTGTAAACAGACTGCACTGGCATTCCATGTGTGTCTGTTTTCTTATTAGTGCAAAGTAGTTCAGGATTGGTATTTGATCTGCATTAATCTTGGTGAAGGATTTTTTTTTTCCCGTCTGCTGGTTTTGATTAAAGCCAAAGCAGCACATCAGTTACAGTACCTTTCTGGTGTTTTACTGACTGACTAGTTTGTTTGCACTTTCTCTGTTCAAGTACTTCATAAGACAAAGTATTCTGAGATTCTGTGTTTGTTGCCTCTTACACTTGGAACATGGCTAATGAATAACTTAAGAGTAGAATTCTTAAAACAGTGAAACAAAAGGGTTTTTTTCATTTCTAACATTTTATTAGAAGGAGTATTCTGTGAAAGTTGTAAAATATTTTATAAATCAGGTGCAGCAATGTCCACTGAACTTATTTCTATCAGTGCTATTATGTTCCAGGAAAATCAGCTTTCTATCTATGCAAATGAAAGTAAAACAATTACAGTGGATTTATAGGCTGTTTCTATAATAGGCTTTTGCCACTGATACAGTTTGCTTTTCATAGGCACGTTTCAGGTTGTTCCAGAATTAATGAACAAGAAGAGGATGTAACATACTGGGGTTTCCCTTGTGGTTGACCCTAGTATAAAACAATGAAAAACTCAAAGATCTTACACAAGTTTAAATTTCTATCTTTGTTAACATTCAAGGGAAGATATGAGACAAAACCATTAGCTGAGATGAGATAACGTTAAATTATTCAGAGTATGCAGTACCTGATGCAAATCAATGATCCAGTACTTCCTTGGCATTGTTTAAATGGATTTAATTTATATAGGCTAAACTCCAGACACAAGCATCCCAGAATCAAGCTGATTTCTGTCAGGTAAGAATGAAGGACATGTACTTTGTCCTTCCAGAATGTTACCAGGCTTTTTCGAGAAGTCTTCAAATATGCTCCACCTGTTTCTGGTGCTGTAAGTACACTGGGTGTACACGAACTTGGGTGTACTATCTCCCTCCCTTCCTAGACAAGAATTAGTACATTTCAATACTTCTAGAGTTGCTCCCTCTATTTAGGTTTGAAAAATGGTATCTGCATTGACCTTGCTACAAACTAGAACTGAGTGCTGAAAGTTCAAATCCCTTAAGCATATTTTTTAGATCTCAAACCTTTATTTTTCCTGTGATGCCACTGCTTCTTGACATACTGAATGTTAATTTCTAAATGAGTAAACGCTTCTGCTAAATCAGTTTGCTTTTTGGTAACAACTCCATCTCTTGCTCTGCTGCATTTGCTGCAATTTGTGTTCTCAGAATATAGCTCATAGAATTGCTGCTGACGTATACATCTGCCAGATAAGCTAAAGAATTCTTTCTCACCAGCTTCAGCTTGTTCATGCTTTAATCTGACAGGAAACAAGTATTTTTTGTCCAAGATTCTTTGCTGATGAGAGTAAAAAGCAGCAAATGCTCATAAAAAGGTGGTTTTCAGTTGTTAGCTGCTGAAGTAATAGTTTTGATTGCATTTACACCCCCATTTAAACAGTCAAGTTAGCTCATATTTATACCTGATGCATATATAGCTGATAGTGATTTCTATTAAATTTGGTACAGAAGTAATCTCAGCCTGTCTCCTTAAAGTTTACTGTTGAAACGCTCAACTCCAGGCTTAACTGCAAATCCTCCATCAAAAGCTGCATTAAGAACTTCATCTAGACAGCTCGCCATAACAAAAGTCAAATCTTGCCGTACGTTCACTGCAATTTCTTCAAGATCTTTTTCATTTCTTTGCGGAATGATAATTCTCTTCAGTCCAGCTCGGTGTGCTGCCAGGACTTTGTCTTTAATTCCTCCAACCTAATAAGGAGAAGAAATACATATAAAAAAAAAAACTATGACACTAATCTAATAAAGTAGTAATTGTAACAAATCACAGCAGGAGTTAAATTTTAATGAATGCTCTCCCTCCCCCAGTCAGAAAAGCAATTAAAAATGCAGCAGTACCTTTAGCTCATTATATGCTTAATGAGGGAAATATGTTAATAATATGCTACAGTACCCTTTCTGTAACAGTTAATAGCAAGAGGGAAAATATGTTAAACTTCATCTAGGAATACAGGTAGAAGAACATCAATAGTGGAAAATTCTTTTTTTTCTCAGGATTTTTTTTTCACGTGGCAGGCTGAAATACTGCACCTCTGTTAGCACAGATGGCTTTCAAGATAGAGGCAGTATTGAGTTTAGGGAGAAAACAGTCTTAAGGATGTGATGCCACATAATAAACGAGCTGTACAATAGAAAATACACAGAAAAGCAAACCTGTGCTCCCAAACTGCAAAGATGGCTTTGCACTAGGAAAACAGGCACTCCTTCCATAAACCACCTTTCTGAGTTGGCAGTGAGATGCAAAGAGGGCTTTTAAATGGATTTTTCTTGTAGCCACAGTTGTAGCTTCTTCCCCTTGAACTCTTTTCTAATCCTATTTCAAGACCAACTTACAGAAGCAACTCATAATTTTACAGTGCTCTAGAGGAACGGAAAACCTTGTCTTGTAGCTAGAAAACAAGGCAGCACTGAGCCCTAAATCACTCCAGTCTGGACAACGCTGCACACTTAAGCCATCGTGTTCAGGCAGCCAATGCAAGTACTGGCATGTTCCTATTAATTAATACCAGTAAGGCTCTGGACAACCCTCAGAAATAAGGTAGATGTGGTTTAGTATTTACTATTACCTCATTTTTGCATCCATCTTAAACAGTAGACAAAATCTGGTCACTTGTGCAATAAAGGCAGTTTGTTTGGAAAGCTAAGCAAGCATGCACCAGGTGGGGTTTCTTCACAGCCACGAACAGCAATCTTGTCAGTCTGGCTGCCACTCGAATGCCAGTTCAGAGCTATGTCTGGTCTGGTCGGCTACCACAGCATAGCATGTTAGCTCTTTCTACTCGCTACTGCCTGCAACAAAATACTGTCTTCCAACTTCTGCCTTCCTTTGTCCATCTTTGTCCATCACGTGGTATAACAACTCCCATATCGGCTTAATCACTTATGCCAGGCTCCATTTGATACTTCAAGCTAAAACTATTTGCTGGAAGACTCCTTTACCGTCATGAACACCATTCAGCTGAACTATATACACAAGGAACAAAAGATTGTTCCAAGAGTAACCTCTATGCAATTACTTTAAGAAACAACTTTTGAAAGAAATGAGATAATTCTGTAGTAATAGCATATTTTGCAACCATGTTGAATTTTAAGACTTCTGGGTTTCCTTTGTAATTAGACATTTCGATGTGCTTTCCCTGAAAACAGCATCGAGACTAGCTTTAACATCGACATGGTGCAGCACCCCAGCAGCCTGGCTTCCAGCTGTCTCTTACAACTGCACCAGCAGAGACTGGAGTGCTGCTAAGGAATGATCCAGCAAGACTTTGCTTTTGTAAATGGCTATAAACAGATTTTACATCCAGAATAGGGAGAATTAATACAACTTAGTTCTTTTCTCAAATGATACTTACTGGAAGAACAAGGCCTCTTAGTGTAATTTCTCCTGTCATGGCTACATCTGAACACACCAGCCGCCCACTGAAGAGTGAAGCAAGACAGGTTACTATGGTAACACCAGCAGATGGTCCATCTTTTGTGACAGCTCCAGCTGGGAAGTGCAGATGGATGTCAGTGTTGTCAAGGAGATCAAAACTTCCAGAAGCTTAAGGAAAAAAAATAATGGTTTGAATGTCAAAAATCTAAACCCATTTTGTTCCCAGTCTTTATTCTAAAAGCCCACCAGAGAACTAAAAGTCCTAGCACTGTTTTTTAACAGAAGGCTCAAAAATCAACACTGTTGCAAAGGCTCTAGAAAAACACACAAAAAGAAATCCCAGCAAGCCTTCCTACATCCAGATCCCTGGACAAAACCACACCAAGTTAACCAGTAAGCCTAGCATTTGCATGTGTTGGGAAATTCAGAGTAGAGATTAATGTAAACCAAGGAATTCCTGCATAGAATTTTTAAGGGCTTTTTGTGTCCCAAACCATAAATGCCAGTTTTCAGACGACACACCTTGAAATTGGCACTCCACAGAAAATCAGCGTTAACCACTCTAATTTATATTTTTTCACATAACAGTGTAAATTACAGAGGTAGTGGGTATACAGTTAATGCCAGTAGCATTTCATACATTTATTCAATTTAGATTTTTTAACCTATCTAAACTTCCATAAATAATGACAGATACTGGACAATTATTTGACTGTTCAGCAAATGATCAAAATAGAAAGCACACTTCCAGAACTTTTGGGAGGGCCAAACAGAAAACAAACAGCAAAAAAATACAGAGTTTCTTGGCTTAAGTCCTACTGCGCTGCAGTTCAACAGCTGCCATAAAACCCCAACTAATTCTCAAAATATTAAAACTACAAAACCTACTTTTAACAGAAGCCATATCTTAAGTTTAGAGGATATCTACAGACTTATATATCTAGATCTAGCTCACGAAAGTACTGCTGGAAAGCCTGAATGTAAGAGTGAGTGGCACTGATAGCTGGAAAACCCTCTCTCTCTGTTAAAGCAACACAATGCATTTCCACAATGAGTACAGGTAACTTCCACAGTTACTCAGCAGTGTCACAATTTGCTGAATTATTGAAGAAAATCAAGTCTTGGGACATTTAATTTCCATGCAATAGTAATGCAGTAAGGCTTACTTTATGTGCATCCCTGCAGTACGAGGCCGAGGGATGCGTTCAATCTCAGTGATGCAGCAGAGCTGTACTTTATCATTTTTCCCCAACCTACCATTGGTCAGCTGGTATCGCTTTGCATTGCTGCGCAGCCAACTAATTGCCAGATGTGCCGACTCCTTCATAACATCTCCAAGTTGACCAGTCAGAGTAAGCTGACCTTCACCATCCATGCGACTTGCTTCTACGAACATGATCTCTCCCCCTAAAGGAGTCCAGGCCAAGCCTATGGCTACTCCTGGCTGACTTAAGCGTTCAGACACCTGAAAGAAAACACCACAGGGAACAGTTTAGGAAAGAACTGTAACAGAACTATTGCAAAAACAATTTGATAGCTGCCTGCAAAACAATTGTATGCGTCAAAGTTAAGCCTAAGTGTCTAATATTTTTCTTAATTCTTAAATGCAGCAGTGATTTTGCCTTATATGTAAATGCCTGCTACAGAACAGGAGCTGTATGTGGCTACTTTGCTTAAGGCAGTGGCAAGCACCTGGGTATATCATTCCTGAAACCTTCCCCACCCCTAAAAGTTCAGTAAGAATCTTTCTCTCATCCCTGGCTGGATCCTTATATGACTTAATCCATCCATGCTGACTCTCTTTGCTACTTATATAGAAACACCAGTTTTGCCCAAACTATTGTTGGACAGCAGACCAGTTCCATTTGTTGCAAACAACTATAAATAACTTTGAATAATGAAACATGAGTCTTCTAGCAGGCTAGATATGAAAAAGTATGGAAAATCTGACTGACTCCCATTATTAACTGCAAGTGGTTAAGCAAGCTCTACTCCACACAAGACTGATCTCTGGAAGCCTGCCTGTGCCCAGGTACTGATGAGAGTCATGGAGGCCTCTCAAGCCCAGGCTTCTGTGTTAAGAGAAGGGAAGAGAGGCAGAGTTTTTCCATGAAAGTTTCAGGTTCTGATTTTCTTTTTTTTCCTTTGAGAGATTCTTTTAGAATATACAGAAAGTCCTTTTGTTTTCCTGAGCTTTAAGGAGATGAAGAAACCCTGATGAAAGATCATACAGCTATTCAGCATGGTCTGAACTATGAAGTAATATATGTATTTATACAGCAGAAAAGAAACTGGGTGAATTTTTACTGTGTCAGGTGACAACTAGAGCAAAAGACAAATAATCCTTTGTAAAATATAGCAATAGGCCCATTTTAATATAATTTTTGTCTCTTACTGAAATGTAGAATTGGAAGTTAATTTGATTCATTCCTGAAAGGAATGAATCAATAAACTCTTCAGAGAATTTAAATAATTATTTCATTTCTTCAATAGAAAACAAGTCAAAGGAGTCTCACAACAAAACCATTTTGGTTTGTGGTTTTGGCACCTCAGAATAATTTCTTCTTACAAAACATCAGAGGAATTTAATCCTTACTTATGCTTTTTAAACAACTTCAGTTGAAAATGACCATTAGACTCAGCTGATGACTGGTCATGTCTGTCAGATGATGGAAGGAAAGGTCACTGACCTACATAACCAGCCCTGTTTTTTTTTAAATTTTTGTAGATGAGACCAATCCAGCTATGACTAAGTTGTAATCTGAGTAAATTAACGTATTTTCTGATACATTTTAGCTGCCTGTGCACTGCAAAATTTAAGTCTTAACACTTAGGGCAGTCATTTATTTTAAAATATTGAAGGTTATTCCAAGATAAAGGAAAAGAGACATCATCCACAAGTCTGCAGTTTTGGAATTATTTTGTAAATCAGCATAATTGACAAATGGCTATTAAGTCACTGATTCATAATGGGAAGAGGAGAACCGGCACTAAGTTACTAACTGGCCTTTAGCATGTTTGTTATCCTTCCACAGGTTCTCCCAGCCTGACCGTACAAACCTTTTTTCTAGTCTACTCTTAAAAAACCGATTCATTCCACAGCAAACCACTGCAGGCAAGATATGTAACAGCAGCTTCTCTTTAAGACAGGAGGATTTCCCAGAAATATCACCAGAATACCAACACTTCTTAGATAAAAATACCTATCTAAACCTGTGATTTGTACAGGTTTTGCTTGTAAAAGATAATCTGATTCATTCCTTAATTAAAATTGTGTGTGTCCCATGAAATGGAGCTATTCTTTTATGGAATATGCACTTTTCATCTCCTAGAACAGGAAATTTCACCGATTCAGAGCTTCTGTCACTTCAACTTCGCTCACATTACGAGGATACAGACTAGCTCCGAAAGGCTCTCCTTTGGTGCCAAAAATGCTCTGTTAACTGAGCAGAATTAAGGGTTGAAAGAAAGATTATTTTTTTTTAAAAAAAGGCAAGCTAAAGTCTAAGTCAAAAGATAAATAGCTCATTATAAACACTCTGCCTATGTTATAAATCTTTTCCCCCAGATCATGCCGTGCTGAAACATTTCATTGCACCTCCTACACTTTAAACTACTGTTAAGATTATTCTTCCAAAGCCTTACTATGTGATATATTGCAACATTTGTTCTATAGGGTGACAACATAAGATTATTTATTTGTGATAAATGAATTAATCCTACAAGTAGGAGCAGAGTATTTGGTCATACCCTCTGCTGGGAGACCTGTGCAGAAAACGTACAAGCAATACGCTGCGAAGGTGAAAGATGAATCACTTATTTTAAGGAATTCCCTGAAGGATAACAGATCAATTAAGTCATGTCATCTTTTCAGTTCTATTTGCTCAGTCTCATCCAAATACTGACATGGTGACTACCTCCATTGTATCTTTATTTCAACTAATTATAAATGGCAAAATGCAGGTCAAAGGTGAAGCTTTGAAGGCTAGACAGACAAAGAGAGAGACACTGCAGACTAGGAAACCAGAAAGCACACAGAGTAGCCGTTCTGAAACGCCCGTCATTGAGACAGGAGCTATACTTCGAAAGAATCTTGGGGGCACTTGAGAAAATTCAAAGGAATAATAGGTTAGTTGGGAAAATTCGTTAAAATGGGAGTTATTAGCTGAGCAGTTTACACTGAAAATATCAAGTGTGTGACTGAAAAATATTCACTCATTAATAAATACAGCAAACAGTACATGAAATAACCCCATAGCTGCTCAGAGAATTGCTGCTGTGTGGATTCATCTCTAGTTCTATTTATGCACTACTTAATTTACCTGCTAAATGTGGAAATGTTTAAAAAACCCTTTGATTCGCAGGTCAAAAGTTTCACTCAGTCTTATTTCAGCTTATACAGGCCAGCAGATCCATGAGATGCTTATATGCATATTCATGGTAACCATTCGTGAAAAAAACAACCCAAAACCAAAACAAAATAAACCCTTGATCTCCCTCACCCCCTATTCACCCCAACTTCCACTGCTACTACCATCATCTTCCAACACCATCAATAGTGCTGTCTTCTTTCAACTTGCTTCCTCATTTTCATCTCCTCATTAAGACTCTCTTCTATGATAATATCTTCATATTCAAAAACTTAATTTCAGGTCTAAAAATTGACTCCTTCCTTATAATCATTCATTTTCTCCTGTTTGCCCTGCGTATCTTGTCCTCCTTTTGTCCTCCAAATGCCCCTGGAGCCTGGTTCTCTCATCTGGTAGAAAAGAACTATCACAGGAAAGTTCTTAGAATATTGTCTCCTCTGAAAGTTTTCCTTTAATTTCTATTTTCTCCATAACTTACTGGTTTACTGATCTTATCTCCTGTATAAATAAGACAGAAAAACCTGGCGTTCCATCAGCAACTGGTTTCCTGTCATAGTGTTATATAATACTACTCACTCTTGGTCAGTTCACCTGGACCTGAAGCAAAACAGAGAATAACTACAATGTAAATGGTGAAAAGAGAATCCCAAACCAACAAACTACTTCAGTTGATGGTATTTTCATACAATATAGCAAAATATAGATAGAGGAAAGAAAAAAACGCTAGACTCTGCCTACCACGGAACAGAGCTGGTACCAGGAGGCTGTAGGTGCCTGACTACTTATAAAACATTTTTAATATCCAAGTGTCACATTAATCTAAAGAATGTCTGAGAACTTCTGGTGCAAACTGAAGTGGTTTTAATACCCAGAAATGCTGGCTGGCATTAAGGAGGTATGTGGGACAGTCCTTTACACAGCTGCCTCAGAGACAGGATTCCTGGGTTCTAGTTTTGGCTTCTTTCCCAACACCACCAAACATCCCCCAAACAAAACCAAAGTCATTATAAACTGAAAACATACCACCACATTCTTAAGCACTGCTGCAGGCATCTTTACTAAAAGGAAGTCAGGCCATTATGCTATTTCTGTACCATGAATTACAACAAAACAAAAACTTCTTTAGATGAAAAAACACTTGGAACTCAAACACAGTTCTGTTACTAATACATTTTTTTAAAAGTTAATATATTGTATAAACTCAGTCAGTAGCAATAAAATAGACAACTAGTCAAACCAGACAGTAACAGCAGTTGAGCAGAAACAAATGAGGATGTTACCTCCATTTCATACATGGGTGGGCCCAGGATATCTTTTAAAGCATGGAAATCAATTAAAATCGGCATTTCGGGTGGTAAAGCCAGGTCAGCTGTGTCACTGATGGATTCTGGTTTTGCGTCTTCTGTGACATGCTCTTTGCAATCTGAAAGAAGAAAATCTAATTTAGGATTTGTAGCAATCTTGCTTAACACAGGAATTAAAAAAAATTGTGACAGAAAAGTAAAACATTTGAGAGAAATGCTCAGAAAGTTCAGAAAATATCTTGTCAAACTAACCGCATCAAATTTAATTATGAAGCCTAAACATGTTCTAACTGTTCAGCAAAGATAATACTCAATCTAGAGCAAGGAAAGATATGCAACTTACTTGCTTAAAAGCTTTTTAAACTAGGTCAACTAGCAAAACACAGTAAGTTCATTTAGCACTTTGCACTTTTCATCAGGTTTGTGCATGACACCAGTATTTGTAGGAGATGATCATGTTTAATGTAATGTAATACAGAATATGGAGCTGGATGGGAAATACTGGAAGTTAGTAACTACTGTCCTTTTTATGAATGTTTACAACAGTGCTCTCTGTGGTCTCTTTCCACAAGGGTTTACATGCTAAACTTTTCAGACACTAATAATTAAGGGTTCTGTCCAATAAAGCAGAAGCGTTTTGGCCAGATTTACATACATTGCTTTGCCGCATGGCTGCATTATTCCAGCCAGCTTGCACTGCACTCAACAGCATCTCATTTCACAGCACCAAACAAGGATGGCGCAACTTACTGCTCTGCAACTCTGCCTTCCCCTCTGCACACCCCAATCCTCACACACCTACCCTCAACACCAGCTGACTGAGCACAGGAAAAGCTGCTACGTGCAGTTCACACAGAAAACAGCTCCGCTGATTTTTGTCTTGAAATACTGTGCTTGCACAGCGCTCTGCTCTACGCTTTGTTGGATGAGATATTTCTAAGGTGTCTTGATCAATAACCCCTAGTGGCAAAAGATTCCTCAAAGATCAAAAGATCAGGCATTTTCAGAAATACCTACAGGCACGACACGCTCTTGAGGCAGGGATATAAAACCAATTAGCCTGACACTTTTGAATGCAATATACTCAACCATCATCAAGAAGGGACCACATAATTAAAGCAATAGTTATGCATTCAGAAGTCTGCTATTTCCTTCCTCCATTTATAGTACAATTGTATTCCTTACCTACATAATTGTTTCCATAGCAGAATTTCCTAAAAATCTCTGTTTTCTCTACTAATGTGCTTTCTATGCAAAAGGGAACTGTAACGGGGACCATATAAATATCAAAGCCTCAAAATTGTTTTAAACTGGACTACACAGCCTGCTGTTTGCACAAATCAGCTCAAGAACTTAAACGTCATTTTGCACTAGGCCTACACTGCACATTTACTTCAGCAATTGTATACAGGAGAATGTAAGCAAGGAGTCATTTCCCCACAGAATTTGATCCAGGTGCAAAAGCAGTATTTTAGTGAAAAATACATATCAGATAAATGAAAAATACTTGAACAATCCAGATGTTTCTAAGGTTTTGTGGCAGTTTTATGGCAGTGCCTCCCTGCCCCAAGGCTGCCATTAAGGAAAGCATTGTACACTTACATATAGCGAAGATATTTTTTATCACCCAACAACCACAAGCCTAAGATACATTTAAAGCAATAGTCTGTATCACACAGGAATGTATGCTGAACCTCAAGACCTGCACCATATTTTGGCAAATAACCCACTGTTGCTTCCTTTGATTGTTTTTTTTTTTTACTTTCAACGGCGAAACCAACCTCCTTTGTATATTAATGCATGCACAATAACTGAAGAAACAGGAATTTAAACAATTGTGGAAAAATACAAGTCACTGATCTATTTAAAATAACATTAAGAGATGTTCTGTGCTGCACAAGTACTTCTCAGAATGGATGAAGAGGGAATGTCTCCTTTCCTAAGATACAAACTATCCTTAGTCCTGCTATATAAAGGCTTTTTTACAGTTTACTTTGTTGCAGGGCAGTTTTCACTAATGAATTCATACAGTATCAAGAAAAACATTCTACATCACTATTACCACAATAACACCAACTTGAGCTTTCATTCAGGACTCAAATCTAATGGTTACTATCCAACAGCCACTAATCTTTCCATTGTGCAACTCATTGCTCCATGTATAAATGCCATTTCTTTGCTGTAAACACTGCCTTAGTCAGCTGGCCCTCCTGTTGTTCCAGCATGTCCCGGTATTTCTGTTGAACTACTATTTCTGTACCTAATAAATTCAAGTACATAAACACTAGTAAGTCTAGGACACATAACCCTGCATGCTATTCTTGCAACTCAGACTGCAATTTCAGCTCTATGGAACTTCAAAACCTGAGTAATTTGGTAAGACAATTTAGGCAGTAAAACAAAACTGAGTTTAAAAACTACTTTTGTTCTATACCAAGATTTTATCACCTAACAAACAGAATTTCCCATTTCTGCTTGCTCTCATTTTACCTAGTTTTATGCATACAGCTGTGTACAGCTTAACAAATCAGGAAGTAATTTTTGAGGCTACCTGCCCTATTAAAAGAGTTAGAGTTTACATTAATACAATTAGTAGACCACATTTTATAATCTGTAACAATAACAGACTCTAGGCTCTTGGAGGTTCTGAAACTGTGCTGTACACGGCAGTTTTCTGTGGAAGGCTTCGGAGTTCACACTGCAGCACGAGATGTCTGCAGGAGCCCTTGGTTCTAGGTAGATGAGAAATGCGAAAGGGCAGCATCTGAACCTGAAGCTGAACTGAAATGTGAAAAGACCTTAGTCTCAATAAAATCTAGCAAGCAGGGTGTCAGGTGTTTTGTTTCAGGTGTGAGTATGTGAAAACAAGCTATAGGTTTGCCTTGTAGATTCTAATTTGCTAAAGCATAATTTGTATATGATTTGTAGCGTATCAGAACAGTAACACAGTACTTATGGTGTTTATTCAGCTGAGGGCCCTCTGGCTTGTGGGTTTGTAATAAAAGTTGAAAGACATGAGGTGATAGAAGATCATTATATTGATTAAATCAGACTATTAATTAATTCAAAGTGAAGCATCTGCTTTCAAGCCTTTGTAAACATGAGGCTTTTGACACTGTTAGATAGTACGCTCTAAAAATGTAGGATACCTGCCAGAGCAGAACTGACGCTTCTAGGAGATACTCTGTCAAGCTGTTTAGCACTTTCCAAAAAGGCATAACTGAAATACACTGGCAGCTTTGTATTGCCTTCCTTGCTCCTTTGACTCCTGAGCTTTATGATGAAGTTGGCAAGTGAAGGAGTGTTAGTTTGCGTCAGTCATTGGGTTTGTACAGTGAACTTCAGCGAAAGCAATGGAGTCATTTTTCAGACCTCTCCAGGGAGTCATCCTTGTGCACAGTAACACTATCTGATATTTTACTGGAACACTATCTAAGATTTATGAGACGGTCATCTCGTCTTTGACACTAGAAGAAATTCAAGGAGTCACAGAAATATGTGAAACTCTCCTTCCTATTTTAGTGCAACTGCCTTGAGAATACAATGCAGCAACTGTGTGCTAAAGCATCGTGTCATGGTACAACAGTTGAAATCCAGAGTGAAAAACAGTTTGTCTAATTCAGACTTGAAAGGAGGTTTAAGACAGATCATATTTAATACCTAGAAGAGATTAAATGGGGATTCTATCTCTGTTGAAACCAGGGCTTTGAAAATACTTCCAAAATATTTCCATTGCCCAGTAATATAATCAGTTTGTTCTACTCCTGGATTTTGTTCTGGACTTTTTTGTTGTTGTTTCTGGATGTTCTTCTGGATTCTGTTCTACTCCTTCTTGATTGTGAGTTTAAATACAAGTTTGACTTAAGCAGTCAACATGATCTGAAACGTGTAGTCTTTACTCTCCCTCTGTCAAGTTGAACATAATGCATTTTACTCACAAAACATTATTACGCATGACTATGGGGGGTTTTGCTTGGTTTTAGCATGTGTAAAGGCCTTAATACGGCTGGCCTAACATCACTGCCCTGGCAAGAAGTGACCTGTTTGATGGTGTAGCTGAAACTCAGCACTTCGAGCAGCACAGGTTCTCCCATAGCACTGGGAGATGAGGTTTATGAAATCTGATCAGCATAAATCCCACGGTGGTAGGACTAGGTGCACTCAAGTTAAGCTCAGCTGTGCCGGCGTTAGTACTTAGCAGCCTGCAGACTGGAACGCGTGGTTCTCCCTAAAAATAGCATGGAATGTGTTTTCCGTTTTAGGCCAGAGAAGTATAAATGTTATGAAAAGTTGGGTTTGTATACAAAAGATTTTAAACCATGTTGCTCTACCTAAATGTTCCTGCATGAAAACCTCAAATTCCAAGTGCCTTAAGTACACGTTATTCTAGATCAGAATTGATGGAATGTCATTATTTTGTGAAAAGATAAATTTTCTGATCCTGTGGGGAAAAATGCACATAGCATTAAATTTAGGTATACAAGTAAGTGTCAGTAGGATTGGGGTCCCAGGAAGGAGTTCCTTTCCAAAAGAAATTATTTTGGCAGTAATACTTCTCAAGTATGTAGTGCTTAAGTTTTAAGTTGGACAGTGGAAAGTTCCATTTAAGATGTAACTTCATGTTATGCCTGGCTTTAAATGTGGACAGCTGTCAACAAGGGCAATCCCATCTTTTCTGTCTAAATGTAGTTTTATGGGGTTAGTTAGTTTGGAGGACCTAAAAGAATTCTGCGTCTGTCTGTTTTGTGCTGAAACATCTGCTAGTAAATCAGTTGAGAAAAATCGTGCTATTTTCACTTTAGCTGTCCACGAACTTTTCTTTCATGCTTATTTTTTTTATACCTCTTCACAGCAATTTGGTGAATCACAATACGTTATGTTAAAAACTGTTTAAAAATTTAGGTTTTTGTTATAGTCCTCTATCTTGGCCAGTAAGTATGGCTAGAAATCTTTGAGTTTAAAACTTGTGTATTACTAGTGCTTAATTGAAATAGAGTTTATGAGGAGCTGAGAAAATTTTATATCTTTAGGCTCCTCTATTCTCCCACTTCCATTAAATCTCTAGAAGAAAGTAGCAGTCTTAAGTTCTTAAATCTTTGGGTTTGCGCCATAGAATTTCTTCTTAGATTATACTGGATTATATGTAGTAGTTCACTGTCAGTATGTTTAATTAGGAGTCCATTTTCTTACAAGTCTATTTTCTTACAAATGCAGTATTTACATGCAAGATTTTTTTGTTTTGTTTTGGGAACTTGCAAAGAGAGATTCCTGAGGAACATTGTCATGGTCTTTGCTCAGTAGCTGCGGATTCTGCTCTGAAAATTTTGCAAACAAATTCGTTGGTTGGTTGGTTTTTTGGCATTTCTTTGTTCAGGAGAAGGGTGGGTGTTGTGTTGTTGTGCATTTTTTTCTTTTTGTAGTTTTTCTAATTTTTAAATGTTAAAACAACTGAGTAGCATGCTGCTTTTGTTGAAGCAGTAATGCAATAGTAGATCAGCAGGTTTCTCCAGTGCAGTGTGGAGCTCGAAGCTTTGGCGTTTTAGCTTATTTCTGCAACGTAACTTAAAGTGTAAGATGATTAAACTATTATCCTAACCAGAAGTTCTGTTTCTGGAAACTTGAATTTAACGGTCTTGTTTTAGATAAATGTGTCATTTAACTTGTCCTGTGTTTTATGGCTATTCATCTGGGATAGATGGGGAACATGCATTTATCATCATTAATGGATATATGAATTACTTGTGTCTTTATAGATTCTTCATAGTCAGCACTTCTATAAAGGTGACCAAAAAAGATGTTTTTCCTTCAAGGAAAAGTTAGTGTTTGTAACTTTTGGAATAGCGCTATATGCTTTTGTAAAAAATTAGATTCAGAATTTAGGTTAATATTTTTGGAAAAAGCCTGAAGTTTGTTATTTTTACATTCTTAGTGAAAGATTTGCATAAAAAAGCCCAGGAAGACATAAAGCCATATACACAAAGCACACTTGCACACCTGAGATACGAAACAGATGCCTTGTACTTCTCAATTACCAACCTGGGAGGCTGAAATTACTCTGCTTATGTCCCAAGCCATAATTCAGCACGACCTGAACCATGCAAAATAAGGATGTCACCCTATTTGCAAAGCTTTTAAAAAAAGAGCCCTTAAAGAAGCATAAAAACCAGGCTGATGAATCAGCTTCCTAGTGACTACATAAGAAGACTTCTTTGTAATACAAAAATGCAAGAGATACACACCTTCTCCGTCGCCCACGTCAGCACGATCTGGCTTTGTTTCTTTGTGCTGTCCTTCTGCCACTTTCACTGCCACTGCTCTGCAGATAGCTCCCAGCTTCCGATCCAGCGAGCGGACTCCTGCCTCTCTAGTGTATCTAGCATAGAGTGGGTACTCTTTGTAAAAGAGATTTCTTTTGAATGTAAACACACTTTCTTTTTCAAAATAAATCCAAACACAACGAGACGTGAAAGGCATGGAGACCTTGTGCTACTCTAATAAACAGGAACAAGTCCCGTTCTTTTATGAAAAAAATTGTGGTTTGCTGATAAAATTGTAAAGAAAGAGAAAACACTGAGTGGGAAGAAGACATGACTAACAGCTCATGTTAAACCTTAGTGAAATGCTAAACAATGCTCCAACCGCACTGAGCTCATATGCATAAAAATTAAAAGGAAGAACTATTTTAAAACTGAAAACTTAGTTCACTGAAAGCTGAGGAACTGACTGTATAAGAGAATATTTTATTTTAGTCTATGAATTAAAAAGAAGCACCAGACAACAACACTCACTAAATGCTAAAATGCTGTTCCTGGTGATAAAATACCTCAATTCATGGACTACTGATACACTTTTTTCCATTGGAAATGAGCTAGTTTCAAGTCCAAAAGATGTTCTGAACAATATCTTTGATCTCACATCCAAGAGAAAAGTAGTTCTAATTAATATAAAGTATTTTTAAAAACTTAAACTTAAAAACTTAACCTAATTCCAATTTGAGACAAATGTGGCCCATCAAGTCACAAGAAACAGAATGACATTTTCCATTTTTCTATGAAAATGTCAGAAATAAAACTTCATCATTTAAAATAAAGGTTGTCTGCTGTGAAAACCATGGCTTCACACACTAAACACTGCAGCAATACCAGCTTGAAGTGTTTCGGTTTATTCAGATTCATTGGTGCCTTGCTAGTTGTGTCCAAACAACTGTGAACCAGAGCAAGGGATTTCCTCAAGAAGGAAGGCCGATTTGGTTTAGAGAGCAGAGCCAGACAGAGCTCAAGGAAAGAGCAATTCCATAAGCCAATTGTTGAACTTCTGAAGCTACTAAGGACAGTGGTACTTAAGGGATGTTTTGCACTATCACTTTACTAGTTACCAGAAAAAGCAGTTATTTAAGCTTAAAGCAACGAATAACAGATTTACCTGGTAATTATGTCCAAAGTGGTTACTTGAGGAATCTGTATTTGTTGTGGAGTCAGGCCATGTTGTTCAAGCTGTTTAGGAATCAAGTGTCTATGTGCAATTTCAATTTTTTCTTCTTGTGTGTATCCTTCAAAAGAAAGAGGGTATGTTTACTAATCTGATGCTTATATGTTAAAATGTAACTAAGGAACCCTTGTTGTAATTTAAAAGGCTGTTGGTATAATACTTTGTGGTTATTCATAACTTCATGTGAACAAGAAAAGAATTTTAGTGTTTCAAAGATCTCTTTCCTCACTGGAATCTTAAACAGATTCATCAGCCAACAGCCAGTCAGAATACAAATACATCAATTAGTGAAAATATGTTACAGAACTTATCAATGCATCTTTACCCTGGGGGTGGTGAGGCACAGGAACAGGTCACCCAGGCAGGTTGTGGATGCTTCATCCCTGGAAGTGTTCAAGGCCAGGCTGGATGGAGCATTGAGCAGCCTGATCAAGGGGGAGATGTCCCTGCGATGGCAGGGGGGTTGGAACTAGAGGATCGTGGAGGTCCCTTCCAAATGAAATCATTCTATGATTCTATGATCTCCCATGTAGGTGGAACTGAATCTTCTCAAGTGCAGTGCCAAATTTCATTCTCATGACAGAGGCCATAGCGGAGGCACCCTGACTAGTCACTTTTAACGATTCTGGCAATTCGGTCTAGATTCCTGGCAGACTTACCTTAAGGAACTGCCTGTCATTTCAGGAAAACCATCCCAGCATTGTTTAAGGACTTGCAATAGCCACTGTAATGAAAAGACTGTAGCATTACCTGGAACTTGAATAATTTCCATTCTGTCCAGCAAAGCAGGTGGGATAGTAGCTGTAGTGTTGGCTGTAGCTATGAAAAGGACTTGGGACAGATCAAAGGCTACATTTAAGTAGTGATCGGTGAAACTGTGGTTTTGTTCTGGATCCAAGACCTTAACAAGAGGGAACACAAAACTGATGCAGTTGCTCAATTGGAAATAAATAAAACCATCGTATTTTTATTATATTTCATTTGGATCTGTCTGACTTACATTTGTAAAATATTTTATCAATATTACTAAAGCCTGACCTTCCATACCCTGCCTTGCCGTGGTTATTCTATAACTACAATTCATACCACACCCCAAAAAATTCAAGTCGTTTCGCTGATAGTTCTATCCACCCTTTTCTAAAAGTGGCTGCAGCGTTTCTCCAGTCATCAAGTACATCCTGTAAGCTCTCTCCATGACCTTTCACAGATGGTAGAAAGTAGCCTTGCAAGGACTCTCAGCACCCTTGGAAAAGCAGCCCACACACTCCCATGGGCTTGCTTGAGTAGAATTCTCTCAAGTAAACCCTGACTCCAATCCTCTGCTAGTGCTGGTAGATCTTTTTACTCTAAGCGCACAAACCTGAGAGATAGCACTGTGAGGGCCAAGGGGAAGAACAGAGATTATCTCAGCCTTATCTGCAGCCACTAGATCACCTGTCCCATTCATTCAGCCTTTTACTATTAACGTAGTAGTAGAAATTCTTTTTATTGCCTATGACATCCCACGCAACTCTAGGTAAGCCCTGGCTTTCCTAACATAAGCCTTGCATTTTTATTTTTTTCCCCCAAATTTTTCAGTAAGAAAACAAATTAAACAAGCACTGAAGAACAACAGCAAACAGTCTGACCAACCTCAAAAATTTACTGGACAAGTAGAACTATAGCTTAAAAACCAGCATTGTCTTCCTGTTCCTTTTAGTACTACTCATGTGTGCCCAATGCAACACTTGCATATTTAAGCTACTACTTGGATAAGCTGCTTTTCTGCACATGGTGATATTCTTTATATGTGGATCACGAGTGTACTAACGTGCTGTCTTGCAGTTTTTTTTACCAGTGCAGAAAACTGGAAGTTTGTGGTATACAGCAGTCAACACCTGGCTTCTGTATTGCCACCTATGAACCACCTTAATTCCAACCCCCCTTAAAGCACTGCCACAGTTTTCCTTCCCAAATGATGAGTCATCAATGGAACACTGACAGGAATAATGGGACCTATGTATCTCCTGAGAAATAGCACACCACTGTCAAAATAATTTATCAGCCTATACCCAAATGAATGCACCCCTTGTCTTAGCAATTTGAATTAAAGCCAAGGAGAGTGGTAAAAATTCTAAAAAACTTAATTTGAACACTTCTTAGCTGCTTATGAAAGAAACAATTCTGAATTTTCATTATTCTTAAATTCTGTTCAGTCTATGAAAAGGTAAAAATCTTTCAATCAGAAATGTTTTATGATCACAATAAATGAGTAAAATACTCTTTAGAGAATGCACAGCTCTTAAAACCAGAACAATTTCTGATTTTATTTTGAAGTACTGCAGCGATTTAAGACTAATATTTGGAAATGTATTGTGACTGTAGTAAAATACAAGTTATACATTCCCTTTAATAGTGAACTCGTAAAACATCTTAAAGCATATGCCTAAGTCTTACAGCTAAGCCTGGAATCACACAATCACAGAACTCAGTGAATGTTGTTCCTTGGCTACAAGCTATTCAAAAGCTTTTCTCTTAAGTGGGCAGCTGCTATCATTTACTCTCTTCTTTACTGCTGAGGGCAAATGCCTTAAAGTATCCTGACTAGGTAAGTACACTAAGGCATAATTCAGAGTAAAAGATGTCTCGTCTCAATTAGTCCTACAACGTAGCCCTAAAACATCGGGGGACACAACAATAGACAGCTTTGCATAGCAGCTACAAGACAAGCATAGCATCTACAAACTGTCTTCAAAAGGGAGTAGACCTATACCAAGTATTAGTCTCCCATTCAAAGCCTGCTCTTACAAATTTTTCGAAACATTTAAACAGCAAATCCTAATACAATAATACAAAGATACACAAAATATTGATGCTGTACTCATGCACAAACAATACTATCCAATAAAAGTAAAAGAACCTGTAGTCAAACCCCCTCAGATTATATCTAAAAATATGAATTATGCTAAGATTTTCTACAAGGGCTAGAGTTTCTCTGCACTAGACAGACTATTTCTCAGAGTAAGACAAAACAGTATCATGCCTATGCATTTAAAACAGATTCAGAGATATTCAGCTAATACAGAAATATTAAGTACAAAAAGAACATTCACTGAACAACATATCTTAGTTAATTTATGGCTGACAGCTCAAAGGCTTCTTTGTGCCAGCTTTTTATTACCATAAAATCCAGAATAAATTCCATGAACATTTAATTGCCTGGTTATGATCCTGGTCTAATTTCCCTGCATACAAATACTCACTATCAGGCACTTGGATGCATTTCTGTTTTCTTCTGTTTTAAACAGAGGTCATCTAAATTTAGACTAAAACATTCCCTTGTTGATGAACAGTAACTGGAAATAGGAAGACATTCTGTTTTGCTTAATCAACAACGCCACAGAAGCACTAGAACTAAACACATATCCGGCAATTATAAACCATCAAGCCTTGCTTGCAAGCTTACAAGGAATGGCAATTTTATTCTTGAATATATCGCACTGTAGACGGACAGTGAGAATTTAAGACACCTACACATCAAGGAAAACAGGATGTGCCTTTTTACTTAGCAGACAAAAAGCAGCAGTCTGAAAACCAAATGTGCCAGTTAGGTGACTGGGTACTATTGTTTGCTATCCTACTTAATAACCACCTTTGCTCATTCCAGATGGACTTTCCAACAACGTAAACCACAAAAGGCAGATGACAATTAAGCTGGTGTGTCCAGGCATGAGTTCTCCATTAGAAGAGGTAAAGCACCTGCTTCAGGATGTTTAGACAGCAGTGGAGGGATATGCAGATCTCACATGGGAGCAGCCCAGACATGGTTAATAGAGCAATTACTTCTCCAGGTGCAACTAATGGTCAATTAGCAAGGACTCACATAAGGACTGCAGCCCAAGCAGACAGCTGGAAGCTAACCTGAGTAGCCTCAGCTGGAATAATCCATGGCAGGAGCTGAGTTGCATATCACTGGGGATATGGTTTTAAAATATGGAAAAACAGAAACAACGCAAAGCAGCAACAAATACTAAAAAATTAAACACAAATAATTAAAGAATAAACTAATTTCATTTGCCCTCACACATCTGACATGACAGAAGAAGAACAGAAATGCTAATTCCTTACTGTAAGACAGGGAATTTAAAATAAATTTAGAGAAACAGCAAAGGTTGAATACAATTAACAATATTAATGTACAGATCTGGATTCATGATGGAAACACTTCCAAAAAAAGTTATTCTTGTTCCAAGAAACACCAAATCATTGGTCCATTACTTCTAGGCGTTATCTTACCCAGCAAACAACAGTCAGCTAGCTAACAGAATTCGATTTTCAGGTATTTTTTTCATGTGTGCATTGACCAGATTTAGGTCAGTTTAGCTCAATATCTAAAGGAGAAGTGACAGATGAAATTATCAGCAAACTCAGAAACAGAGCTCAGTACATTAATCGTGATGAATAAAATCCCTTAAGTGCAAAGTACAAAGAAAAGGCATAGGTATATTTGTTACGTTCCTCTGCTTGTTTTCCTTGCACTTAGAAGCTTTTTATGCACCCTAGAAGTGTGTACTACATACTTGAGAAATACACAGGTTAAGGACCATAAATGTCATCTTTAAAAGCTAAAGAAGTGAAACTATGGTATTTTCTAACACACTTACACTATTACTAGCTCATGTTATCATGCAAAGATCAAAACAGAGCTCTCAAACCATAGCCTGTTAATACGCTGATTTTCAGAGAACTAGTTGGCCTTGTCAAAACAGTAATTTTATACTATCTAGCAGGAAAAAACGTGACGTTTTGTAGGATGTCAATTGACATTTCATTTGCAGAAAGTCATACAGCATACAGATGAGCTCGTGACATCTTAAGTAGCATTTTTCGTAGTCAAATCACTGTATTATGCACTGACAGTCAAAAAGAGTCATTAGAATAACTCTGTATTACCAGAACTACTTTCACTCGTACTTACAACCACCCTGCTAAAGAAGTTACCACACTAAGTCTGACAACTGAGATGCTTCTAGGATTATGACCTAAATAATCCTAGTGAGCCAGGCTAGCTCAGAAAAATTGGATAAATATCTTTTACTATCTCAACTCCTTCTGACTGAAATAGGTAAAGAACAATCACAGAAGCAGTTCAGCTGAAACAGTGATTGGATGGTAGCCCCTATCGCCAGAGAGAACATAAAAGAGAGGTGGGCAGTGTAAAAACACATCACTATAAGGAAATTCTAAATGTGCACAATATCAAAACTATTAAGCACACTAGTGCTACGTCTGCTCTGCACAGCCTCAAGCCTTTCAGCATGGCTCAGCTCTGCTCTACCACCACCTTCCTCATTCTCTCCCAACTGTCAGTGCTAGCACAGGAAGAGGTACACAGCCTTCTGCACTAAGATGCTAGGGACAGGCAATACTCTGTTAAATATGCAAAACACTTATCAAAGATACCTTACTCAGCTTACTATTTAACAGCATTTGCATGGTGCACAAATAATTGACAGAAATCCAACAATGTCAAAACACTGTAGGCGGTATTTGAAGAAAAAAGCTGACACTGTCATGCTATCTTTTGTCTGGTGAATCTTCCTTTCTGAGTCCAGTATCTTAATTCTTTTTAATTACAAATGAAATAACACTTGTAATTTAACATCTCTTACCTCAAGCAAGGCTGCTGCAGGATCCCCCTGCAAGCTCTTCCCCAGTTTATCAACCTCATCTAACAGGAAAACAGGATTGTTAACCCCAACGGTCTTCAGTCCATTGATTATTCTGCCAGGCATACTGCCAACGTAAGTGCGTCTGTGGGAAACAAGTATATATGGGGAAAGAGGGATCAGAGGCATGTAACAGGAGTAGAAATATCAAAAATAAAACTCAAAGGAAAATATAAGAAAAAGCAGCATTGTAACAATTCTTGCTTTCTTGCAAAGTTGATCAAAATACGAAATATGCATCTGAGCTAGTATAAACAATTATATCAGCAGGTGAAAATTCCAGTTCCATGGTGCATTATTTGGTCTGGGAAGAGAAACGTATGCATTAGAGTATATTCAAACTTGATTGCTTGCAAGCATTTTACATGATTCAAGCATCTTCGTACTGTATGAACAAGCAGAAATATATTTGGGTATCTCATTAATACTAACATTTTAATAAAGATGAAACTGGGGTTTTGTCATCACTATAAAGCTTACACAGTATGTTACAAATTAGGGCAAAATTCCAAACATGCTGAAATGCCACATGCTTTGACAAACACTCACAAAAAAATAACTGTATACACTATATCATTTCAACGTGAAATAAAAAAAACTAGAACAGCACAATGGAATAAAAAAGTTCCAAGTCTGAACTTATTCAGCAAAGGTGGTAAAAACTTTTTTTCACAGCAATGGTCGTAGGGAACAAATCACAGTTACTGTATTTGATTGTGGTTTTTAAGGTCTTCTGAACAGCCAGAAACACACCAGAATTTCAGTTTGCCTATTTCCACCTTTGTGAGGCAGCTGCTGAAGACCGGGGCAGCCAGCACGCAAGTTTATCACCACACTGCTTTTGTGTAGTCTTGCTCTGCAGCAAGTGGATTCCTCTCCACTGAGGATTGCAGTACATATCATTTATTACAGATCAAGAATCTACATGGGGGAGCTATTACACTAACATGCCACTTCATTCTCCATCTGCACACAGCCAACCTTGCCAAAAGAATGAAAGGATTCTATAAAATGCAATCAGAAAATTACAAGACTGAAGCAGAACTGAACTTCACAGAAGTTAATCATTTATCAGGACAACCAAATCATTGTAGCAGTTTGGAGGTTTCATTGGGGTTTTTTGTTGTTTTTTTTTTTTTGTTTTGTTTAGGCTTTGTTGGCCTCCCCTTTTCTTTTTAAATAAACAGTGCTTACTGCACTAGTAAATAATTTTATATGTTTCAAAGACAATACAGGCTGCCTATACGATGTCTAAATCTGTGATACCTATGCACTTATTAGAGATGGATCAATACCTGTTTTATTATATTATTAATCAAAGACTCAAGATCCTCAAAGTCAAATAAAGAATGCTAATGCAAATGTCATATGTAGGATAACAAAGAAAAATGACGAAGTATTTTACTTTGAAAATGCAAACAGAGGTAGTCTGTTCTCATTTTTACATGATTATTATGGAATACATCTCAATATAAGAGTCTGGTAATGCAGATCCTGAAGATATTTACATATAAAATTACTAAAAGATATTAAAATTACAAGCAGATATGGCCATTTATCTGTCTGGACATTAACTTTTGCCTTCTAACTCGTAAAACTGAATACTGCTGTTTGTGAACAGCAGCCACCGAATGTGATGATATTTTTCGTTTTTGTTCTTTTAGCTAGGGTTGAAAGGAGGAAAAACAATATTCTACATTAACATTTTTTATGTGACTCTGCTAATTTTTTATGCAATGTTTCTCTCCATGGATTAAACCAGAAAAAGTCAGCTGCTTTCTACTCAAAACAGGAAGTATATAACCAAGTTTCCTGGTCATCTCACTTGTGTAGTAACAACTAAAAAAAAAAACCCTTAAGAGCTCATGCCACAGAAAATATGTAATTTAGCAATCTTTGTATTTATTTTCTAAATGAGTGAAAAGGTACCTTTCTAAAATACACCAGAGTTTTACAGCATGTCCTTAGGAGCTATGTATCCAAGAAAATGCAAGACAGACACCTAGGAAACCAAACCTTGTCAGATCTCCCAGTGTGCACTGAGGATGCACAGGAATCAGAACCTTTAAAGCAGTACCAGTACTATTGAGAAAAACACTTTCCTTATAATGTTCTAAAAACAAGAAGTTTTAAGTTGTTTTTAACTACGATGGTTTTCAAACAGCAGAGGCAGGTAGGTAGAGATAGAAAAGTTAATGCCACCAAAGGAACTATTTCTGAACTTAGCTGCACAAGGTCACAGCTTATTTTTTCTCAAGCACAGAGGCTGCATCTCCTCGAGTGCCTTGCAGATGTGTCTGGGTTTTGTACTTCTATTACAAAGCTATTCCTCTCACAGGTGAAGTTGTTTCCTTTCTTTTAGTACGAGGCCTGTGCTGTGAACTTCTGCTAGCATAGCTCTACAGGTGAGGAATAACACATTTTTCACACAGATGCACCACAACAAATCTTCAGCACGAGCCTAAGATAGAAGTAAACTATGCAAAGTTCTAAAAACTGAAAAGCAACAGTAATATAAGAAAGAGTGCTTCACACAGAGGTGAGAAAAAAAAGAGTTTCACAGTGACATCACATCACCACTATAAATAAATGGCACTGTTACATCTTTCTTTTTTAAAAATAAAAAACCACACACACATATAGTACCTGTATAAAACTAAGTATCAGTACTGTGATCTTAAATGCAACGAGGTTCTTGAATAAAATTTCTAAGCTGTCCTTCGGGGGGCTTTTTTGGTGGTTTTGTTTGTTTTTAATACAAGTTAACAACAAATGTTAAGCAGCAAACTTAAAACTTGTGCTATAGAAGAGTGTTAAATTCAAACGACAGCTGGAGGATGTCTGATAAAGCAGTTCTGGTTTTGCACCAAGACGATGATTTCATTTTGGGAAAGCAGAACAGTAGGTGCTGCTCTTCAACCAATCAAAACTCCAGCTGCAGGCACATGATCCGCACTTAAAATGGCAAAACCTGGGTGTTTCTGATTGCCCTAGTTAAACACCACATGGACCAGCACGCTTTCTAACATGCCACTGCCCACCCTGCTGCCATCCAATACATTTGATTTTGCTTCCTGAATCTATTGGTCTGCATCTTTCACTTACAACAGTAACAAGCAGGCAAAGTGAATGCTATTTAAGGCAACATTTGCTTGCAAATGAAACTGAACCACCATTTCTTTTTAAATGTTCTATTACGTTTACTACATTTTTAAAAATGTTTACTACTTTAGTAGATACATACAGGATCACTCTTCTGCAATGTTAATGGAATCCTTAAGCTTTAAAGCCTAATAAGGAACTTTCAGGAAGAAAAGAGTGGCTTCTAGCATGTAATATTAGAAAATGAGCCTACTTAAGAGTAAAATTCAGAAAATGGCAGCCTATGTCTCTTCCACTTTTAGATCAGCTCTGTGACTGCCACCAGATGCACAATATGGATTCATTTGACTGGAGATAACTTGAAGTATTTATTCATGGAAAAGGACATTACAGAGAGATGTCTACAGAAAAGCTGTAGTTTTTATTTGATTAGTTCTTATTCTGAAAAGCAAAAAAAAAATAGGCAGAATTTTTAAAAAACAAGTATGTAACAGTTGGCTTTGATTTTACCTAGAAAAAACTTGCAAAAACAATTAGAAAAGACTCCTTGTACTAACTGCTCTAAAGTGCAGTTGGAGACTAATCACATGGTACTCCTGCTAATTTTAGATAGTATTTTCCTTTGCTGATGAAAATGAACTTTAATCAAATACTTACCATCAGCTAATTTCAAGCAAAGTTTTTAATACGAAATTTATAATGGTTAGCTTCTAAAGATATTAAGCGCATGCACAAGTTAGAAAGCCAAATAAAACAAAATAACAAGAAAAAAAAAGAGTAAGGAATTACTGGCAATTGAGTAAGAGTTGATGACAGTTCGACTTCTATTCCTAGTGTCAATTCACAGACATTTCCTTCTTACAAAGGCTTCTGTCCTGCTCTGCCCTGGAAAAGTGAACATCTATAACTCTTAGTATTCAACAGCCTCTAGTGGTCTCAGCTGGAACAGCAAAATGTTCTTGAATCATTTTAAATTGCTTTTAGGATCCATAGTATAAGTGATCTGAAACGTAAGAATTCTTACTTATTAAATGGTGATTAACAACACAGTTTGTGAATTACGGGGATAATACACAGTGACAGAGGACAGAGTTTTGTTTCTTTTTCCACTGGTGCGTAAGTAAACAGGTCAAAAGGCCGGCTATTACAAAAGTTTACAAACAATCACACACACATTCAGAGTGCTGCTATGCCGTAAAAACCACTGCATTAAACCAAATGAGTCTACAAACTAACTCCCAGCGTATGCAGCCCCTGGGAGTTAGTTTGTAGATTCACTTACAATCAGGTGACTCTATGATTCTACAAACTCTGGGTAAGTGTCAAACCCTGGGAACCAAAAATGCTGCACTTCTGCTTATCTCCATTACCCTTTCATTATGCTTCCAGTTCCAAGCTATGGAGAACAAATGTTTTAAAAGACTAAGCAGACACATAAAGAGATGTAAGTAAAAAAACCTCAAAAACACAAACCAAGTGCTAACGAAAGTCACCCCAACAAATCTAAATCTTTCCGTTTAGCTGTCCTTGTATAAACTTCCTTTTGAAATGGGAAAACAGTACACTAGCAAGTTTGAGATACTAAGTTACTCACTTGCTATCATGTAGCAACTTTTAAGTATCAGTCTGAGTTTCTCCTCCTGCTTTAGCAACAAACATGGTTATAAAGTACCATACTGTTATGCTTATGCTATTTTGTATACTTAAATCTTTATATCCTGCTTAAAATGTAGAAAACCCAGATGCAACATTTAAGAGCTTGCATTAGACTTCCTAGCAACTTCTCTTCCACGTGCCAAGATGCCTGAAGATGAAATTCCATTCTCTTGTCTGACAGTAAAGGGCAGCAGCAGAAGGAAAGCCTAAAGGCTGTATCTCAACACTAAACATACATTCCCAGTAATAGAACTCTCTCCTGAATAACACTGAATATCAAGAAAAATCAACCAATAACTACCATTGTTTGAAATAAGCAGAATTTCTCTGTATTAGCTAAAAAAATAAAATAATTCATATATTCTGTAACAAAAGAAAAATTGCCATTAGGAAAGGAAGAAGTAGTTACCTGTGGCCTCGAATATCAGACTGATCACAGACTCCTCCTAAAGCAATTCTGTGGAATTCTCGACCCAAGGTCTTCGCAATTGATCTTCCAACACTAGTTTTACCAACTCCTGGAGGCCCCACAAAACAAAGAATGGGTCCCTTGAGGTTGTTTTTAAGCTGTCGGACAGCTAAGTACTCCAAAACTCTCTTCTTTAACTTCTCCATAGCATAATGATCATTATCCAAAAGAATTCGAGCTGCGCGGATTTCAAGGCGATCTATCAATTATTGACAACAGAAAGGACATCAGCACATTTACCTTTAAAAATTGCAACAATTAATTCTACAATACAATAAAAAAAAACATTCTCAAACATATCTGTCAATGCAGTCTCACTCACACACACACACACACA